TGATGGTTCTTGTTCTCCAGCCTCGCTCCAGCTCCGGCCACTGATTGTTGCACCTTGTCACAGTTGTTGTTGTTTGTTGTTGTTGAGCTGATTGTTGTTTTTGGGGACTGGGAGTCACCTGTTTAGCCTAGGTTTTTATTGGTTTTTGGTTGTAGGGTTAGTCCCCGGGTTATAGGGGGAGGGGAGTGGCCCGAATCAGACGGCCAACTGCTGGTTGGTTCGGGGCTTCTCCCTCTTTTTGTTTGTTTTAACCAGGCCTCCCAGTCTGCATTTTAGTTCAGAAGATTTATTGACAATTAATGCTTTGTCTAAACTGGAAAATCGTCTGAGCTTCATGTGTTGTGGGTCTTGACCTCTCCTAGACTTATCGGGACCATAACACTTAACATGTTTTTTTTTTTGTTTTTCAGGTACACCTGCACCTACATCTGGACCTACCATTCTGTGTTCGTCTGTCTCTCCTCCCTGTCCTCTCAACCAGCCGGTCAAAGCAGATGGTCTCTTGTTCTGAGCTGGTTCTGCTGGAGGTTTCTTCCTGTTAAAGGGAGTTTTTCTTTCCACTGTCTCCACTGTGCTTGCTCAGGATGGGAGACTACAACGAAGCCAAGATTCAACTTGTCTGCTGGATTCCTTAGATAGAGAACTTTACTGATTGTCTTTTATGTGAATGTTCCTGTAAAGTCCCTGAGACAACTTTGTTGTGATTTGGTGCTTTATAAATAAACTGAATTGAATAGTTTTCGTAAGGAGTTTCAACTGTGTTTTTCACTCTTTAAATAAAAACAAATGTATAAAAATAATTTACTAAATAAATATAATAAGGTTTGATTGCTTTTTTTGTGTGTGTTTTTTTATGAGTTTGTTTATCAATTTAGCTGGAATTTGTTGATATGTTTTAGAAAATTATACAGGAAAATATTCTGCTGCTTTGATTTTGATGTATAACAAAGGGAAGGTATAGTAAGCGTGTGCTTCTGCCTACACTTTTTTCCGGTCTACACTTTGTGTTTTTGTGTTCTTAATTTTTTTTACGAAACTGGTTTGGTTCAGAATCTGCATGTAAATTTAGGAACAGGACTGGATAAGCTATTGCTTCTTCCTGCTCCCTTTTCGAACACTTTTGTTTCCAGAATATTTTGGTGGAAATATTTACGTTTTTTTATTTGTTTATGGTTTTGTTTAAACTTTTAACTGTTCGAAATAAATAAAGAATACACATATTGTCATATTGTCTGTACCTCAACCCATTTTAAAACCCGTGGAGAACGCGCTTCTCGGATGGTGGCTCCAAGGCTCTGGAATGCCCTTCCACGGCCCCTACGCTGCACAGACTCCACAGCCTCTTAAACAACTTAAGACATTTTTATTCAGACAGGCTTTTACTTAATCTTGTTTTTTGTTTGTTGTTTTGTTTGAATTGTTTTGCCTTTGTGAAGCACTTTGTGATTCATACGTCTGTAAAAGGTGCTATGTAGGGATGGCACTATCTAGTGGGCCTTCCCTGTCTGGCCTCCCTAGTGTTCTGCTTTAAT